TAACAAGCCCGAGGCGATACCTTCTTAACCCACTTAACAACCCAACCCCAACCACCACCCCCACCCCACCCCACCCCCACCCACCCCGATTGTTTTCACACGGGTCTCTATTCAGTGAACTTCTTAAATATCCACTTTAATGTAATGTAACTGCTTTGTCGTACATGGTAAAGATTGTCCTTACTAAGTCATGCATGACCACCGCCAGCTGAGACAAACAATGGTGATTGATGAGGGTGAGAGTGACAAAGTCAAGTGACCTCGCTGTCTGTAAACAAAACACCTGGATACCGCCCTGTCGTTGCATGAGATTTGTAGCCGGAATAACTCCCTGGCATTGTCTGAAGTTTGTTACCTGTATACCTCTCTGTCATTATCTGAAGTTTGTTACCTGAATACCTCCCTGTCATTGCCTGAAGTCTGTTACCTGAATACCGCCCTGTCATTGTCTGAAGTCTGTTACCTGAATACCTCCCTGTCATTGTCTGAAGTTTGTTACCTGAACATCTCCCTGTCATTGTCTGAAGTTTGTTACCTGAATACCTCCCTGTCATTGTCTGAAGTTTGTTACCTGAATACCTCCCTGTCATTGTCTGAAGTTTGTTACCTGAATACCTCCCTGTCATTGTCTGAAGTTGGTTACCTGTATACCTCCCTGTCATTGTCTGAAGTTTGTTACCTGAATACCTCCCTGTCATTGCCTGAAGTTTGTTACCTGAATACCTTCCTGTCATTGTCTGAGGTTTGTTACCTGTATACCTCCCTCTCATTGTCTGAGGTTTGTTACCTGAATACCTCCCTGTCATTGTCTGAAGTTTGTTACCTGAATACCTTCCTGTCATTGTCTGAGGTTTGTTACCTGTATACCTCCCTGTCATTCTCTGAAGTTTGTTACATGAATACCTCCCTGTCATTGTCTGAAGTTTGTTACCTGAATACCTCCCTGTCATTGTCTGAAGTTTGTTACCTGTATACCTCTCTGTCATTGTCTGAAGTTTGTTACCTGAATACCACCCTGTCATAGGCTGAAGTTTGTTACTCGTATACCACCCTGTTACCTGAATACCACCCTGTCATTGTCTGAAGTTTGTTACCTGAATACCACCCTGTCATTGTCTGAAGTTTGTTACCTGTATACCTCCCTGTCATTGTCTGAAGTTTATTACCTGAATACCTCCCTGTCATTGTCTGAAGTTTGTTACCTGTATACCAACCTGTCATTATCTAAAGTTTGTTACCTGTATACCACCCTGTTACCTGAATACCAACCTATCATTGTCTGAAGTTTGTTACCTGTATACCACCCTGTTACCTGAATACCAACCTGTCATTGTCTGAGGTTTGTTACCTGTATACCTCCATGTCATTGTCTGAAGTTTGTTACCTGTATACCTCCCTGTCATTGTCTAAAGTTTGTTACCTGAATACCACCCTGTCATTGTCTGAAGTTTCTTACCTGAATACCACCCTGTCATAGGCTGAAGTTTGTTACCTGTATACCACCCTGTTACCTGAATACCACCCTGTCATTGTCTGAAGTTTGTTACCTGTATACCAACCTGTCATTATCTGAAGTTTGTTACCTGTATACCAACCTGTCATTATCTGAAGTTTGTTACTTGTATACCAACCTGTCATTATCTGAAGTGTGTTACCTGTATACCAACCTGTCATTATCTGAAGTTTGTTACCTGTATACCAACCTGTCATTATCTGAAGTTTGTTACCTGTATACCACCCTGTTACCTGAAATTTGTGACACCATACCACTGCGCATACAACCGACAAAAGGCCCAGAGCTAAACATGATATTCTGAGCTAGACTGTCGGAAAGCCTCTGGAAATATTTAATTTGATGGGAACAAACGACTGTAAATTATATTGAAAAGGAACTGCGAGTGAGATAGGAGAATTTTTTCCATTGTTCACCAGTGAGACGAACTCTTGGTCACTTAAATTATATGCATTGATGGACAGAATCAGTTCCTTAAATTGAAAGGAAGCCCAAGTGAGATTCCCGAGTTTGCAGAAATTCTAGACTTGCTTCATTATGGGCTACAACAGCGATAGCTGGACTCTGGACATTATTTTGCAGTATGGGACAGATTATTCTAAAGGTAGAATTGTCAGGTCAGCGGCTGGTCATTTATTGCAGAGAGGGCCTAGTATATGTATGCATAAGCAGGAGCCAGAATCAGTCTCCTTCTAATGTGACCCGAGGTTCGGCTAACAATTATGGGAATGTGACTCTTAATGTCTGTTTGTTTGTCTGTTTGTCTTGACGTAGACATACATAAGTCTGACTGAGTGAGTTTAGTTTTACGCCGCTTTTAGCAATATTCCAGTAATATCACGGCGGGGGACACCAGAAATGAGCGTCACACATTGTGCCCATGTGGGGAATCGAACCCGGGTCTTCGGCGTGACGAGCCAGCGCTTTAACCACGAGGCTACCCCACCGCCCCTCCATACATAAGTGAAAGGCTGCCTTTCTACTACATACTCGGGATAGGTACTGCTACATATTGAGAGTGATACCGGCGATACCCTCGCTCTTTTACAGACACCTGGTGTCATCCGTATATGATAGCAAGTCCGATTCACATACTGATGATGATCGGAATTGTTCCCACATCTCTGCTCCTGGTGAAGACTTCCCAAGAATATGGAAAAGGATTTAACGATTTGTGGTCATTTTCGAGCTGATGTTCTTGGGCAGTGACACTGACAATAAAACTGAGGATACAGGTGTCGTAGTGTTTTAAGACACAACAGCTTGCTCTGTAGCGTTGTATCCCTCGGACACGACATGAACCTATCTTCACGTTTCCAATTCAAAATTGACGAACATATTCAACAGCAGACATCTCAACATCCACTATTGTAAGGTGTTCCAAAAGAACAGGGTAATTATAGTGTCGTGCTGGGCCAAAATGAAATATCAAATCGAAAACTTTCATTTTTTCTGTTGTTGTTTAACGCCGCATTTAGCAATATTCCGGCTATGGCGGCGGTCTGTAAATAACCGGGTCCGCACCAGGCAATCCAGTGAGCAACATCATGAGCATCGATGTACGCAATTGGGATACGATGACATGTGTCAACCAAGTCAGCGAGCCTGACCACCTGATCCCGTTAGTCGCCTCTTAAGACAAGAATTCAAAAGCCGGATCTTCACGGTTTCTGAACCTTCAAGAAAATTTATATGCATAATATTGGAAAGAAAGGTGTCTGAGATTTTCAAGCGGATGATTACTGGCTTTCTTTTTTCTTAGTTTTCTGATCTAAGTATAATAATTAAAACATACAAAACGTATTTAGGCAGAGAAAAGTTCGCTTTCATAAATCATAACCATAACCCATAACATGACATAACAAATTATTAGAAATGCATTAAGTGTCTTTAACAAAAATAATTAGATTAAAACAGAAATGCATAAAGTGCCTCAAACACTAATAATTTGTTGACAACAGAAAAGCATAAAGTGTCTTTAACAATAATAATTAGTTGAAAACAGAAAACGTAATGAACTTTTAGCAACTATCGTTATAACGCCAATAATCAGAAATGCTACTTTTCACCGAACATGAAAAGAAAACAATCACAGATCAAATGTTTATGCTTGACATGGATTTTCGGAATTAATGTAACGTATGAGACAGTGATCCGTATAAGATTACCGGTAGTATCCCATTTTTGACAGCGTCTTTGTCACTGATTAGTTAAGGCGTGATGTTTCCTGTCAAAACTGGGACTAACTGGGACTAACAGAATGACCACTGACTAAACTGGGATAACTAGCTTGTTTTAGTCGTAGTGTTTAGTCGTATCCGAAGCTGCTGTTACAGTAGCTCCCACAATCACTGGTTAATCAGGGATTAATTAACATGTGTGAGCCGAGGACTGTCAAAGTTGGGACGACCGGTAAGCTCATTGTCAAAATTGGGACAACTGGCTAGAGCAATTATAGAAGTGTGAAATTTCATTGTCAAACTTGGGACTGTCAAAATCGGTACTAAGCCTGATTACCTAATCTAGGTATAGAAAGAGCTGGGTCGTCCTCAAGGCGGCGTACTCCTACAGCTGTTGTTCACAACTGTAGCTGCATAACGCACCACCGCCTTGACATGCTTCGATAAAAATAGACCATTTCAACTGAATACACAAGTGTTGTCAGTTTGTGTCATAAAGGCTGTCGTACAAAAACGCGTTGGACGTGACGGAATGGAAATATGTAAATGAGGTCCATATAGAGCAAAGTACAGCCGACCCTCTCCAGTCATTCATGGGTTCGCCTATTGTATATGTGTTGGATCAAATCCCATTCGATATAGACAGTGACCTCAGACTTAAACGCTTCTCTGGTCCCATCCCCAAGGACACCACCTAACACTTATACTTCTGCTAGCCCTCATCGAAACATTTGACCTACACCTATACAACACCTCCTCTGCAAGTCTGTAAGATCTCCCAACACGACTCGCCCCGAGGAGAAATTTAATTTAGGAGAATACCTAAGCATTTCAAGCCTATAAATTCTTTTTGTAGACATCCGATAAATGCATTCATTGCCCATTCGTACCTTTCTGTCTCCGTGTATATCAGACTGTTTCTCGAAACTGTTAAATCCATGAAACAATTACGACCAAGTGGAAAACGCCCATTAACACACCAAATTTAGATGAATACATCAAGTACCTGTCAAACGTTAGTGCTCTCTCTGTTGTTGACTCAAACAGGTCATGTCATTCAATTAAACCTATTTTAACACGAATACATGTTACAGCCTTGTAGAACTTAGAACTGGATAGTTGAAATATCACGGTGTGTTAGAAATAAAATGAATAGTGCGGTTAGCCTGAATGCCTCCCAAAACTGTTTACTAAGCCGAGACCAGCAAACAACCTCCCGACATTACTCCGGGCATAAAAGACGCAGTAGGTCAGGTGAAAACACAGGTGAAAACACATGAAATCTTTACAAATTTTGTTTTACTTACCAATGTTAGTTGCGTTTTAAGTGCCCGTGCTCGATGTGTTTATAGACAATAATCCCTGTAGTTCCGTGCTCACGTATCCAGAATTGTAGGGCCGATCTTATCCTGGTTTGTTTATGTGAATGTTCCGTTTCGACGCCATTGATCGGAAGTGAGTAATCTCAGTGCGCCTTTCTCGCTCAGCACACCTATGCCTGATGTTTAGAGGAGTGACTGTGAATTCTCACGGCTTTTGCGTATTTATAACATTATGAACGTGTTATTCAAGTTTCTGCCACTGACTATAACAGCGTAATTAGCTTAATTAGAGAACAAAGGCTGGTAAATGAGGTAAGTTACCTTTAATATAGTGCGTTTTAGTAGACGTTTCATTTCATTGAATCCTTAAAGGGACAGTGATCTAGAACAATTCCCGGGACTCGTTGATGCTTTTGTTATTGTTTTTTTCCAGCAACTACCCGGATGATACCCCAGAGATCTTGACTGGGTTGCGCCACCCGCAAGGTTACTTGGTAGTACAAGGGCGTATAATTACAAAGATAAAATACAGTTTCGTTTTGGAATTAAATGGAAAATGTAGTCATCTCTTTTACTCATTGATATTTTCATCTTCGTTATTAACTTATTATGATAACAAATGAAAACATTTTGAAGTTTAACTATATCTGCCAGTGTTAAAAGGTGTTATAAAAAAGGACGAAAACAACGAAGTCAATGTCCTCTTTATATTTTTGTCTTGTGATCCTAGCATAATTTATTCATTATCATATTTTTATGCACTTTGGAACTTTATCAAATATGCACGATCTGGTTTTAGTGAATTTATAAAATGAATGTAATTTCTAGACATTTTTTACTCAGACTCTCTCTCTCTCTCTTTCTTTCCAACAATATCTACATACGAGTGTTAGGGTTAGTCATCTGCAGCTGACAAAGAAAAGTGTTCTCTGTCATGTGTCGTTTAACAGTCTAATATGGAAAATGTATGTAACGTTATAACTTGTGATAGGTTCTCAACTGGTCACGTGACTGATTCAAGCTATTCACATTGGTGTATAGCTCCATTGGTCACCCAATGGCACACCACACCTGACAACATGTGCATGATCTTACGGAAGTGTAGTAGGGCCACAGTGAAATGTTTTTTGGTATTACTATCTCCTACGTAGTACTTACTGTCTCCTACGTAGGACTTAGTATCTCCTACGTCGCACTTAATATCTCCTACGTAGGACTTAATATCTCCTACGTAGGACTTAATATCTCCTAAGTGGGACTTAATATCTCCTACGTAGGACTTAGTATCTCCTACGTAGGAGTTAGTATCTCCTACGTAGGACTTAATATCTCCTACGTAGGACTTAGTATATCCTACGTAGGACTAAATATCTCCTACGTTGGACTTAGTATCTCCTACGTGGGACTTAATATTTCCTGTAGGAGATGATCGATATACATTTATATAGATTAATCTGAAACGGTCGACTTAAATCCCCAGACACGCACAGAATCTCCTGTTTCACTGTTTTAGTCACTGTGAGAGTCTACAGTCATTCGTTTCATTCACTATTATAGTCTACAGTTATGTGTTTCATTTACTGTTAGAGTCTACTATCATGTGTTTCATTTACTATTAGAGTCTACTGTTTTCTTCACTATTAGAGTCATGTGTTCAACTAATTGTTGTACATTACTGTGTTGGACCGACTGTTATACTTTACTGCCTTGCGTTCAGTTTGCTCTACTATTACGCGTTGCAGTTAGTTCACTGTTATATGTTGCACTTTGTTACGATTTACTATTATGCGTTGGATATTTCAGAGGTCGTTGCAAATGAATCATAATCTGCGTGTACAGACGTGTCTTAGACTATAGGTGGCAATCTATGTGTACGTATCCCCTTATATTTATACAAATAACTATAATGACAATTCTTTGACTTTTTGAATTTCGTATTGTTTTACGCCGCACTCAACACTTGTCCAGCCCAGGCAAGTGAACCTGTAAACATTTACGAATAAAACCGCAAACGAGCGTTGCATCCGATCCAACCTACCCCCATCAAGACAAACAACAACTTGCGGAGGTCGTGTTATAACCCGAGTTTCATATCACAACCTCACCCGAACCACCTCTCTCTGTCTGTGTGTGTGTGTGTGTGAATAGATGTATGTATGATAGATTATACATAACCATACCCAAACCTCCATAACTGCAATTAGAACAGGGTCCACGTCACCCTAACGTAATACACACACAATAACACTGTACAGTAACACTGCGTTAGCGTCATGAATATTCACTAAATAACATTTCGACTATCTAACGTCCTGCATAGCCAAACATTTCTCATCTTAATAACCATCCTTAAAAAGGATATATAAAGTCCTACGTAGGAGATACTAAGTCCTACGTAGGAGATGTTAAGTCCTACGTAGGAGATAGTGACCCCCCAAAAAAAATTTCACCGTGGCCCTACTACGCTTCAGTACAAAAATATACAATTCTGCTTTTGATAACATTTACAAGAGGGAATCTACCAAACTCGCCATATAACATAAAGTTAGTTGTACTTTTCCTGAGCTATACTAAATATTTGAGAAAGTCTAGATGGACACTTTCAAAGCAAGAAGTATTTTCAAACCCCAGACCTCACATCCATATAGAAGAATCGGGGTGACCATACAATCAAACAATTTCAAATGACAATCAATAGAAAGTTTAAATTTTCTGCCTTGGCGTAATACAAAGAACATTGCTATTGTTGCCTTTTCCACCAGTATACGTTTGGTTTTAGTAAATTTACTATTCTTTTGTAGTGTAATGCCAAGATACGGATAATAATCTACATTTTCCAGGATAGTATCTCCAATATTGAAACTTCTTTTGGATGTGTTAATTTTAAGTTTCCATTTTTTACAATAATTATGAAAAGAATGTAATATATTTTGCAAATCTCAAGGATCAGAGGACATAATCTCTAGTTTACATAACACTGTTACACACTGCAGTAACAACAAAAGCCCACTCCAGACGGTCATGATCGATAGAACATTGGGACACGCTGCTATGGGTGTGCAACGGCCGAAAGATTTTATTTCCATGTCATCGGCATTCAAATTCAGTTTACACTGACAAATATTTCACCCAGACTAGGTACAATACATGTTAAACTTAGCAGTCCGTTGCTGAAGCCCGGTAACAACAAAACACACGTAAAACCAGAGATAAACCTTCATAGGAAGTTAAAAACTCTGGAACCGTGTTCCCTCAACGTATGCAACAGCAACCTGTACTGGAGGGTCTACAGCAGACTATGTTCACCTTAGATATAAGGTACCTTACATGTGTTGGAATAAACCTTACAAAACATTCATATTTTGATAATGTAAATAAACAGGGCAATGTGATAACATCACCATTACTTATAAATAGAGTCCGTGTTTAATAAATACTCCTCTCTGTTACAGCAGTATAATGACTCTTCAACCAACAGTAAAACACCAATCTTTAAAGTAACTGTATTATAATGGCTCTTCAGCCTCAAAGGGATATACAAATAGAGATGAATATATCGGTCATTATATCTGACGTCAGTTATTATAAAGGCTCTTCAGCCAGCAACATATATAAAACACCATACGCTTAGATGCATGAATAGAAGTATTATAACGGCTCTTCAGCCTAACAATATATACAAACATTGTATTTGCTTCATTTCAATATATGAATAGAAGTATTACGACGGCTCTTCAGCCTAACATATATACAAATATGAATTAGAAGTATTATAACGGCTCTTCAGCCTAACATATTCAAAATATTGTAATGTCATTTCAAATTATGAATAGAGGTATTATAACGGCTCCTCAGCCCAACAATTCTACACTACATCAATGTACAAATCAGTTCATTCCAATATACAAACTTGTGAGTATTATCATGGCTCTCCAGCCGGGATACAGCCATATAACATGCACACCTAATATGTCTCCTGACAGTAACCAACACCTGCAACATATGAACATAGTTTCATTATGAATACATAACTATTGGGAAATAAAAAAAAATAAATCTATATATATATCTTTACAGTAAGCTTTACGTTAGCGTCCATCATAAAGCGGCCGTGGTGTACTTTCAGCGAGAATGACCAATTCAAATTAAGTAACCCTTATATATCCTTAACAGCGCCACCCCACGGGCAAGTAACTCTCGTTACACACCGCTAGGAGAAAACAATTTCCTACTAATTCATCCTTCAAACGTAGGAAATATAATTTCTCCTACATAACACTGTTACACTCGGTAACAACAAAACACATTCATGATCAACATTGGGACACGCTGCTAGGTGTGCACGGCGAGATTACAAAGAAAATCAGAGACCGAGCGACAGAGACACCTTGATCCTGTTTTCCAGTTTATCTTTAACATAACCGTCCTTAGCCTTTTCACTGCGCCATCGACCATGGCGTTTGAACATACGATCTGGTATACCGTTATTAGCTGCAGCAGTAGCGCCTCCACTACGAAGACTGTGCAAACCATACCGTTTAATGTCACTAACAAACGGTGTCAAAGCCTCCAAAATATGTCTCGCAACCTAGTATAAGACATAGGTTTGTTGCTTCTCCTCAGCTCATACTGTCCCGCATACTTTGTAACATTTCTAAAGATGTACACATCTGACTGAGGATTAATTGAAGCAGCCTGTAAATACCTCTCCAAACATTCAACCGGACAAAGTTTTGTACCTGTTCTCCCAATCACAAGCCAAGCACCATCTCGGTAAACATCAGTTTTGGACTTTTCAATAAACAATAACATATGAGAATTGTAAAACACAATATCTGAACGTGTTATATTTAGTAGTTCCTCGGATCTCAGGAATCCTGCGTAAGCTAGTAAACACATACTTATTGTCCGTAAATTGTACAAAGATGGATCTACAATTTTTGAATCGAATAAAGAATTCAAAATTTCAACAGTTACCGGCTCTTTTTTCACAACTGACCTAGCTAACTTCCTCTTAGCTGCCTCCAAAACATTTTTCACTAGCATACTGTCTGTCGGACTTACCAGCCCAATAACCGTATGAGCATGCCTTAAGCTATAAAAAGCATTTACAACTGGCGAAATAGATTCACTTCGCTGCACAATCGACAACAGGTATATGGCACAATGCAACGGTGCAATAGGCAATACATCAGGCATGCTACTACTCTTCGCCCACCTTTTCCATGCAGCATAACCATAACGGTACTTGCTCACAGTTGACTGAGCTCTGGACTGACACAACAGGTCCGGTAACCCAGCAGCAAGTTCAGCCACCTCATCAGGCAAAGACGACAGATCACTCTGGTAAGCATCATGAAATGCATCTGCAAAACACAATTATACAGAATCAACGAAAATCAATCAACAGTGCAATCATATTAAAATGCAAATCTTGTTCACCAAATAATCCTCCCTTAATCCTGCTGGGTACATATGATTCTTTCAACGTAGGTAGATACACGTAAGACTTAACCTCAGGCATGAAGACAGCATTTTTCCAAAGTAAAGGCCAAAAACAAGCCGATTTCCACTCTGGAACGACTAAAGTTCCCACTGCATGACATTCCGCCATGTGTTTCAAAACTCGAGGTATAAGACAAATCGGGGGTACTATCCAACTCATGGTCTCTCTCCATGTGACTGTGAATGCATCTACAGCAGCACATCCTGGGTTACTGTAGCGGGAGTTAAACTGTTCCAGCTTAGCATTATAGTAAGATGCAAACCTATCCACATGATGTGGACCCCATAACTTGTCAATACTCCCGAACACAACGCTTGCAATACCCCAGTCATCATAGTCCACAAGTCGACTGAGGTAATCTGCCTGCAAATTACCATTACGAGGAAGCCACTGAATACTCAGATCTATATTATGCTTAAGACATACGTCAAAGATGTCCACAGCTATGGACTGCAAGTGAGATTTCATGCTGCCTTTGTCTACAATGCTGACGATATTTTGATTGTCTGTAAACCATTTAACCTTACGGCGATCGAGAGAAGAAACCAAACTCGCGAGCACCATATACACCGCCTTCAGTTCTCTCCAAGTAGAACTCTGTCTTGCTTCTTCCTGATTCCACTGCCCATGGGAAATTACACAATCAACGTCAACACTGAATCCACCAAAACCACTGTCACTGGCGTCTGAGTAAACAATCCTCTTAACCAAGCTCGTCTCAATAAGAGATCTAGACACATATATATCTATTTTGTTCAGCCAAAATTTCAGCTGGGCAACACTTCCAGGAGATAAAGAGATCTTATTCTCCCAAGACCACGTTTTGGCTACATCGATACTCAACAACCTAGTCATTAGCTGAGCTACTGGTCCGATAACTGGTTTCATAGATACTACCTGACCCACCACACTCGCAACAGATCTCACAGCAATACGTCTAGGATGCAGCCTTAATATATGCAAGATAGTATGTTTCAACTTATCTATCTTCCTCCGAGGAATGCTCATAGTTAAACACGTAGTGTCCAGTCCAAACCCTAACCATTCAATGGATTGAGATGGATGCCAGAGTGACTTCTCTACTTTGGGGACAAACCCTGAAGATACGAGATCGGTTTTAATGACTGCACCTTGTGATAAAGCTAAATCCTCTGAAGCACCGGACATAATTCCATCGTCCAAAAACGTAACAATTTTGTGTCCATCAGCACGCCACTTCTTCACTATCTGACGTGTAACCTTAGTGAATACGTAAGGAGCTGAAGTCGGACCAAACGGTAAAACTAAGAATTTGTAATAGCATATATCACCACCAGTATCACGCCATGTAAATCCAAGATAATCAGTATGAGGGTAGAATATATCGATGTGGTGGTATGCAGAATGTATGTCAAATTTGATTAACCAATCACCCTTGCTCACATATGTTAAGAATGTGGTCCAATCCTCGTACTTCACGCTAGACTTGTAAACAAACTTGTTAACCCGGGAGAGATCAAGGATCAATCGTTTCTTCCCTGAAGACTGTATGGACACAGACAGTGGACTGACTACTCTGGGGGCCGTAACACACTTGCTGATGAGATTTTTCTTGAGAAGCTCGTCAATAGCCTTTGTAACAAAAGTAGAATGCGTAAGGGCTGATTTATTGTTTTCCAAAAACATATGAGGCGGTTTGAATACAAATGGAATGTTATAACCATTTGATATAATGTCAAGAACAAATTCAGATGCACCAATATCTCTCCAAAACTGAATGTTCGTTTTGAGACGACCCCTAACTCTGATTTCAGAAGTACCTTGCTCATATTCAAAGTAATCGTCCGTTAAGTTAGAATCAACAGAATGACATAAATACTTAACTGCCAAGTCCTTGTCTACTGCTTTACTGGGTTGTGGTTGAACTCCCAACTCCACCTCCCGACGTGGCTCCAGTTCCGCTGGCGGTGTATGGACAGTCTCTTCTAAAGTGTGTAAATTCTCCACACGCAAAACATGCTCCGCTTCTCTGGCTTCTGCCACGAAAAAGATGTGAGGACGTGGACTGGACAGGATGCACAGAAGAAGCAGAATGAGCACTAGAAGCAGGCTGCACGGGCCGGAGAAACGTAGACGATCTTCGTAAGGACCTACTGGCCGAGTAAGGAGCTTGCCTAGCACGCTTTTGTCTGAGTTTCTTGACGGCTTTATTGTCTGCGCGCATGATTTTCTTATCATCGTCAGAATCGTCTGCCAACTCATTGCTGACGTACTGCCGGACGGTTTCCCAACCCCCGTCTGAAGAATCCGCTATCTTAATAAGTTTATTTCTTCTCGTCAACCTGTCGAGCTCTTCAGACAGTAACGTCTCAGCGTCTTCCAAACGTGAAGAACTCAACGCAGTGAGCACCTTTTTAAGAGATGTAATGGATTCTTCGTTGAAGTTATACTGAATTTTATTGCCCTCACGAGACCAGGCGTAGTCTTTTTCAGCTTTCAGCTTCTTAAGATCAAGTGTAGTTTGAACGAATTCATCTCTTAATGCGCCAATCTTACTATCAATGGAGGACTGTAGCGCTTCTTGTTGTTTCAAGATGGCGTCAAGTTTAGCATTAGCGTCCATCATAAAGCGGCCGTGGTGTACTTTCAGCGAGAATGACCAATTCAAATTAAGTAACCCTTATATATCCTTAACAGCGCCACCCCACGGGCAAGTAACTCTCGTTACACACCGCTAGGAGAAAACAATTTCCTACTAATTCATCCTTCAAACGTAGGAAATATAATTATAGTTTATCCTGGATGGATTTAGTATGTTTATTAGAAAACTATAGACATTTTTTTGTAATGTTTATTGGCATTTTGCAATCGAGATTTGTTCTGGGATGATTTACAATTTTGGTATATCCTTTTTGCTTCGAAGTATTTTCCCCGTGAAATTTTGCATTGTTTGCCAAACCAAGGTTGATTAGTGCGATTTTTTAAGGGATGTCGAAGCGATTGATTTTTGCATTTAAAGCCAAAAAGCTTACCTGCTGTAGAGACAAGCACATTGCTTATGGCATTATTAACAGGAGTGAT